CAGTATTACACCTTATGAAAGTCTTGTGAAGCAATTCAGGAGCTGTTAGTAGCACAGCTCCTGACAAATGTTCTTGTGACATAGGGGTTCCATTCAGCTTTTTGGAGTAGCAGGATTTTATTCAGGTTCCTTCAAAATCTGATGAGTCACTTTTCCTAATAGAATTTCCTTATGTAACCTCAACTAACCCTGACTCTCAGTTCCTGAGCTGTATTGATTGCATGGTGGAGGGGTCTTTTTTTTAAGCAAATTTGGGACAGACAAGGATTAATTAGGACAAAAAAAAATAAATCAGGCCCATCTTCATCATTCTCACAGGCAGTGTTGGTATTGTAAATGTCTCCTCACCTGAGTAATAGTTGCTGGAGTTACAAAGGTAACTTTCTCTTGTAGGTGTTTGAAGCTAAAAGTGGACAAAACTAAAATGCTGGCTATATCTGGGGTGAAAAAAGCAATATTTGACCGACTCTGCAATCAGCTGGAGAAGATGAACCAGCAGCTCAGCAGTAAGTTTTCAGCCTTATCCCTGTAATACAGCCCTTTCTCTACTTTCCACTGGCAATTTCATTCTGATCACCCACCTGTCCCCTGCCAGCCATTCCAAAATTTCCCACAGTCTCAGTTGCAGTCATTGCTTCTGGGGATGGCGCAACAGCTTAGCACGTGACAAGGCCAGAAATAAGTATTTTCCTCTCTTATCAAAATCTCAGTGCTCCTTATGTCCTCTTCTGTTGTAATTTATTTCTTTGCTTCTCCCATACTACCTGACCTTCTTAGATTCCTCCTTCTTGCTTGCTTTCTGCATCCTGTTAATTTGTATGCTGTGTTGCCATGTTAACATAAGCATCTTGCTGCCTCTCTTGCTTTGACTCACTTCTGCATTTTCCTTCCCCTACTACAGGATTAACAAGCCTAAGCCTTGCTTTCCTTGTACTAATTCATCCATTACCTGTCATCATCACTTCTCACCATTTGAACCCATAGCTAGCTCCCTCCACTCCTTTTTGTGGAGGACGAAGACTGAAATATGATACACATCTTCCTGTCCTTGAATCTGGTCCTTCCTACTTGCCTCCTTTTTCCTTTCCCAGGGTTTCATTCTTACTCTCCCACAGGCAGTGTTCCTGCTTCACCCTGTCTTCATGCTTCGTATCGTGAAGTCTTCTAGAATGCTGCCTGAACCCAAACCAAAAGCTGCTGCTCTCTCCCTAGGCATGGACATTTCCATAGTGCACTGCCCTATAGAAACTGCAAAACCTTACTCTACCACTGAGGCAGCTAATGACAGCTGGGAATTTGTGGGCCAGTTCAGGGAAGAATGTGCATCTGTATGTATGGACAGCTCCTGCATGTTGTGGGCATCTGAAAAACAAAGTGTGGAAATGGGATAGAAGGAGAAGAAATAACTAATAATCCTGCCTGAGCAATGAAGGGTAGCAGCGTGGGTTTGGGATATGAACATGGTGGATCACTGTGATTGCAAATGCAGTAGAAATACTAGTTAAAGCAGCCATTCAGTCTGTGCAACTCTTGAAGTGTGTTGGCATCTCTGCATCTACAGCTTGAGCATCTGTCTGAACCAGGGAATGCTCTGAATGGGAGACGGTACTTTTGGAGGGTGGCCCTGCTGTTAAAGAATTCCATCTAGAGCACCATCCCTGGGGCCCCAAACACCAAGCGGCTTTGTTATTTTTTTTTAGAAGAAGATGTTCCAGTGGTTGCAGAGACACCTGAAAGCTTTCAGATCAATATGAAGCACTGCGAGAAAGAAGATGGTAAGTTGTGTTCAGCTATGAACTAAAACTCACATCACCAGTGCAGTTCTGAGCTATATTGCTGCTTAGTATTTTAGTTGTGCAGTATGCCATAATACTCAGCTCATGGCAGCTTACTGCATTCTGCAGACCACTAGCTCATGAAAGGACAAAGAGAAGCAGCAGGACAGTGGTGTTTATGCTGAGTAGTCCTAGTAGAATTCAGGACAACTATTCCATTCAAACACAAAGGTGAAGAAGTGAAGAAGTTCTGGCAGCTGAGGAGCAGCAAACCATCCACATAACACAGTGGCAGACCCTTTGCTCACTGCCATGGTTATTCCCAGCAACATACATATTGTCCGTAGTAGCCTGTCATTGATTTTCTCCTTCTCTTGTAGGACCTGAAGATGATGAGGAGATGCCATGTAAACGGCCAAAGACTGAAACAAAGCAAGACTATGAAGAATGGAAAAAGAAAATCCTGGAAAATGCTGCTAAGGCACAAGAGGCAAGTAGGAGTGTGTCTGTAGCACCACTTAGAAATGTATCTTCTGCTTGCTCAGAATTTTAACTCTCCCTCTGCTGTAACAAGAGACCTTGTAGCATATAAGCGATGGCTGTCTGGTAGCCAGCTTATTTATTAGATAGTTTTTAAGAATGTTATTTTTAGTAAATGACACCAGAATTAGGGCAATCTTACAAGGAGCATGTCTGACTACTCGCCAGGCTGGTACCTGAGCAGCTATGGCATTGGGTGGTAGGACAGCCTCATTCTTTCACTGCAAGAAGCAGGTAATGTTTTAATGCTGTAAGTTCTAAGTTATATGCACCTGGGCCCCTTCCTGGAAGTAGTGGAAAAAAAAAAGAGGGAGGGGACTAAGTGCCTTGTTAGTACAGGAATTAAGGCTGATGAATTTTTATTAGATTTTGTACTGTTGAAGAAACATTGTTTAGTCACTGAATTTGATTTATTTTTTATGACCTATATGGGACTGAAGTCTCTTGTGCTTGTAAGGGGTCCCAGATATTCCAATAAACAATAAAAACAGTAGAAAGAAAAGGTTCTTGGCACTTGTCATGTATAAACCTGTTAGAATGCAAAATGAAACACAAACAGGTGATGTCTTCACTTCAAAGCAGCAGATGTCCAGGGGACAAGCATCTCGTCCGGGCAATACAGGTTTTCACATCTAGCAGTCATAAACTTAGGGAACAGGCAAGTGCCCTGTGCTGTAGTCCTTAGAGGCCACTTCTGTGGTCCTGCACGTTCATCCCAGCTACTAAAAATACAGTTTTGAAGGAAAAGCATTACTTTTAGCAGTACAGTTACACCAGCAGGGCTGGCATAACTATAATGAAATGAATCAATCTTCAGCCCATTTCTCTTGCTTTGTTGTTCAAAACAATCCAGAAAACCAAAGTGTCCATAAGAAAAAAGATAAATTATCTCATGTGTGAGCATTTAAATTTGAAATGCTGCCCGAGTTTCTCCTCAGCAGTATTTTAATGGCTTGCCAAAGGCCACACTGCTGTGCATCCTCCTGCTTACCTGGGTCGCACCACACCGGGATTGCAGTAGTTGATGCTGTTAACTGCTTTAGATATTAGTTATGGGCTAGTTTTTTGTCAGCGTTACTGTTCCAGTGACTCACAGGTCACCTGTTGTTTGTCCTTTTAGCGTTTTGTAGACTCCAAAACAAAATGCATAGGATGTGGTGAAATGTCTGATAAGGCTGCAGAGGTGGGTTCCCCTGTACTGCAGAACCATGGGATGGCTGCCAACTCTAATGGGATTTTTATTAGAAACAAAATAGTAATCCTGCTGGCCAGATGCTCCTTTGTTCTGTAGAAAACGGAGAAGAAATACATACAAGACTGCAAAGAGCATCTGTGTGTTACTCTCTTAGGCAGGAAGAAGCACACAGTAACTGGAAAATTAAAACTTACCATTCTCCTTTCACTTCTCCTAATACATGAAAAAGGAGATCACTTGAAGCCAACTTTAACTAGCAAGAGCTGATTTCATTTCAGAGAAGAGTCATGAAATGTAACAGTAACTATTAGGGGAATAGACTCCAAACTGATGCTCAATGTGCAGAGAAAATATTGGATAATTAACCCACACTGAGTAAAAGCTGTAGCAAAATGTCTGGTGTTGAAAGGCTGATGTAATATGTAGCAGAGGGTCCTCAGGATGGGAGAAAATCCAGCCTACTACCATTAGCATTCTGCCATTAAGATCTTCTCAGAGACGTGTTTGATTTTTTTTTTGGTGGGACGGATTAAACCAAAACTGAGGAATAGGCTTGTTCCACTTTAATGACATTTATTAGTATTAATTCAGAAATATACAAACCAATTAATACAGTCACATTTAGCATGCAGAACCAGTGTGGGAGGAAAACATGGACAAAAGTGGGCCTTCATAGAAGGTGATAACACTGTCAAGATCATTACTCTTGGTTTTAATAATGATCTGTCTCAATTCTGGAAATGCTGAAGTCCAGAATTCAGGACTTTGGAGAGTGAGAAGCACTAGAGTGGAAAAAATAACTACAGTAGGGTAAGTCAGTTACCCTCTTCATTAGCAACCAGTACTTTTGCTAATTCAAGGGACATGTGAGCCTATAAAATTAAACGGAACTTTACAGTCGTTTGACGGCTTTTCTGGAAAGCTGGTTTTAGAGCTATAGTTTCTTATTTTGATAGGGAGTCCATCCAGCTCACAGAGTGTTTTGCAGAATCTAGAACAGGAATAAAGGAAACCAGAGGCTTAATAAATAATGTTATACTTTTAGCTGAGAGACTGCAAGTGGCTCCAGCTCTTTATGCATCAGGAAAAAGTTTAAAATACAAAAGTAGTTAGTATTGTGAAGAAAACATTTAATGTTCAGGAGCAAAGTGGGAGGGGAAAGGGCTTCAACCTCCTAACTGGGCTGAAGGCAGATTCCAGCAGCACACCATGTCCCTGGCACTAAATAGCAATAAAACCTGTTTTGCACATCACACTGTATCAAGTTTTCAGACTTCATTAAAATTGTCTGAGAGGAAAATAAAATCCCCAAACTAAAACTTACAGAACTAATGGCTGCAGTTGAAGCCACTTACAAGTTTAAATACATACAAAGGATATTTGGAGTCTCTTCTTTTCTGGACAACATGGGATCTTTTTCCATAGACCCAGGGGTCATTGGGTGATTTTAACTTTTGGAAGGAGATGGATGAAACTGCCACAAATCAATCCATTCAGCTCAACTGAACCCACCATAAGAAACAGCAGCAATGGCCAACTGACTTAAGTCACTTCAAACCAGGATTCCTCCCATTCCCTAACTATGGAGTTACAGGATACAACTATTTTTTTTTTTAAAGAGTAGAATTAAAAAAGCCAACAAACCCAAAGCATTCAACTCTGTGTAGTTGCACTGAATCATCATCATGTTTGGGGGAAAAAAATAATCTTTTTGAAAAAAATTACAGAAGGATTCTTGGTATCTTTTGTTCTACGTAACAAACACCAGAGGAAAAATTGTGCCACTGTTGTGGCAGTGCTCTTCAGTCATGAAGAAAGTCGTCAGAGATCCCATGTTCACTGTGAGAAACAGAAGACTGACAAGATGTTGTATGAGATGAACATCCCAACAACATTCTGCAGAATCAAAGCCTTCAGCAAGAAGTCAGCCCCAGTAACAGCCATGTTTTTCCATCACTACGTACAACAACTAAAAGCTTATAAAAACAAAACAAGGTTCTGCTTTTAGAAATAATTCCAGTACTTCCTTCCTCGAGGCACTTCTGGAAGCTCTGCAGTACACACACAATATTTGAGGACAGACCCGAAACCTTGTATTAGAAAACAAAGGGGTAGAAATTACTGAAGATACTGAGTTCTTCTTCCATGATTTCATGTCATGTCTTCCATGGCTCTGAGGAAGCTTATGCAAGCTTGACAGACATAGTTGGAAATCTCTTCAGCCTGTTAGCAGCAGCCACTACATAAAAATGTTTCTGTGAACAGAACACAACAGTACAAATGTAAGTACAGCTGAGGTAAAGGACCTTTTCTGTAGCTGACAGTTTTTTCTCCCTGATAAATGAATTTACCTCTAGTGACCCACACCTTGTGTGGATTGCAGTGCAGAACAGCTTTGTACTGGGAGATGACCACTGCAGAACAAGACTGATCGCACCATAAGCTTCTGTGATATGTCTTTAGATTATATATTTTTTAAAACACAAGTGCAGAAATCTGCAACCAAACGGCTGGGCTGCAGGAGTGGAAAACGTGTAAGCCTCTGGTTTAGCTCCTTGGCAAGGAACTACAGCTCTCCAGTGACAAAAGAAAAGGAAATGGTCCTCACTGAATTTTCCTCTCATTTCCACAGGCTTCTTTGTACCAAGAAAGATCACTGTATTCACCTTTCAGGATCCATGACTTACAGTCCAATAGAGACTTCAGTAAAAATTCTTATCAGTTCCTCATACAACATTTAGTTCTGAAGGAGCATGAGGTGATCAGGCAGGTCCTGAGAGTTCTCTGGATGGGTATAAGCCTAACTTTTTCTCTCTCCCACACTTCTGCTAGCTGCAACAAGAGACAAAACTGCCTTATGTTGTGTCCCTACTCCATAGTGACAAGAGACAATGAAACTGTTGTCAATGGAAAAAAAGTCTCCAATATCAAGCAAAGAACATTTAAAGCTAAGTAGTATCTGAAGTCTCTGAACTTGTAAAGAAAAAAAGGTGTAAAACTTTTAAACACCGATCAGGATTAAATTTGAAAACCAAACTTGATAAAACTAGAATCAGTATAACTGTGCAGGAGAAAAACCCTTAGTTTACCAGTGAAAATATACTTTCCAAACTCATATTTACAATAAAGAAGCCTGTGGACAGCAGCGAGCCATTGTACAAAAAACAAAGGAATGGCTCTGCCTGTGTTGAGCTGATTTTCCCTCTGGAAGTAGATTTGCCAGTTTGTCTATTTACCTTCCATTTTCTGTGAGCCATGTAACTCTGCAGCAACAACTGGGACTTCAGGCGAAGCTTGAACTTCTTGGCTTTAGTAGGTAGGTTGTTTAACCACGCGTGCCTCAGACACTGCGTTGCACTCATCCGGCAGCTGCGGAAGAGGAAATCTGCCATGTAAACCCAGCTGCCCTAGCTGCCATTCTGAGTGCCCTGTGCTCCTCAGCATTACTGATAAAGAAACTGCCTTAAATGGGCCAACACAAGTGAGTGGCAATTCCTGCACTCTCTAGTTCAAGGGGTGAGCAGTGTGAAAAGCCTGCAGTGGGTTGATTGAGCTGTGGTTATATGCTGGATTTTGCCTTTTTATGGTTTGGGCGTGTTTGTTTTTCTTACGTCTGAAAAATCCCTTTGTGTTCTCTTGCTGGCAATATGGAATCATAGAGTTTGGGTTGAAGGGACCTTAAGATCATCTAGTTCCAACTCCTGCCATGGGTAGGGACATCTCCATGTCACTCAAGACTCTGTCCAGCCTGGCCTTGAACACTGCCAGGAATGGAGCATTCACTTTCCTGGACAACCTGTGCCAGTGCCTCACCACCCTCACAAGGAAGAACTTCTTCCTTATATCCAACCTGAATTCCCCCGATGATGTTCTTTTTATGCTTCTCAGATCACTTACTGTTCATATGTGGTATTAGAACTGATTTGTCTGATTTAGATAATGATATGGAAGTTGTTAGTATTCTAAGCACTCCTTTGAATTCAATTTGTTTTACTGTATGCCTCATTTCCTAGCTTAATTAGTATTATATCACTATCAGCAAGAGAAAAATATCTCTCCTCACTCACCCAGCCCCATTGCCACAGTCTGACATCAATGTCATCCTCACTCTCCCCTGTTGTTTCACGTTGTGCAATCACTTTCTATTTCAGTGGAGCAAAGACTGAGAAGCCACATGCAGTTAAGTCCCAAATGCTCCTTAATATCCACCAAAAGTATGTAGGCTGCTTTAGAAGAGAACCATGTGCATTTTTGCAGCTGCAGCTCCCGTTTATCCTCCATGACATTCCAGAGACGTTTTTGCAATTTGTTTCAGGCTTGTGAGAATTCAAGGCAACAATAGAAACAGCTTTTGCTCAGAGAAGGAATACTAAAGACATATTTCTACACAGAAAAGTCCTCCCAGATTTCCTCTGATCTGCCTATATTGAGGCTATTGTGAAAAGCAACTTTCTTCAGTCAAGGTACATAGACATTTTCCTTTTAAATAGGGGCTTTTGAATCACTGAGGAACTGCTCACCAAGCACAGATATAGCATAAAAAGTGTCAGGTAGTGACTTCTCATTGCTGCATGCAATGAACACATTGGCTAGGAGAAATTTAATGATGTCATTAGGTGCTACTGTCCTCACAATTGGACAAAGAAGTACCTTTTCTCCTTCACAAGTAGTCTGGAAATAAAGTCTTTAGCTTCCTCCGATAGCTGTTCAAAGGCTTCTGCATCAAAATCCCAGCTGCAATTGAGTACATAATTCATTGTCTCTGCATCAGTTTCTCCCAGGAATGGGGACAGGCCACTAAGCCTTAAAAAAAGAAAGAAGGGGAGGGAAATCAGTAGTTGTTAAATGTAAGATGTGTTTTTTCTTCTGTGAATCCTCTGCTTTACAACTGTTCTTAGCTTATGGAGCGGAAAAGACTCTCGACTATGGGGTGTTCCACTCAGTCCCTACCAAGATAAATCAACAGTGTGGAACAACACAGCATTGTAAATGTTAGTGTTACTCTCTAGCAGTTCACTCAGCTACGTCAGAGAGCATTAATAATAGGGAGACCCCAAAGGAAATTAATTCAGTCGGGATCTAGGTATGTACGTCAGTGCCTTCCCAGCTGGGACAGCTAGGGGGATTCAAGAGCTTTCCTGAATCAAGGCCCATATCCTTACATGGCTTGAATTAAACGCAATTCTGACCTATAGCGTACTTTTTTTCAATTAGCCTCTAAGCCCAGATTTATTGCTTCAGTCGCTTATTAATTCACTCAGTTGGGCTTTGGATCACACAAAAATTTAAACCAGAAATGTATCCAATTTACAGAAAGCATCTGTGAAAGATTCTGGGATGCAAAGTCAGCTCGTCAGAAGGCAGTTTGGACAGACAAGCTGTCCATGGTGACCACCCAGATACCAAAGAAAAGTTTTAGCCCTATTTATGACATGACATTTTTTAGACCCACAACGTAACACCCAACACTAATTCCTCTGTGCAGTCGCACACCAAGTCCAAGCTACTACAATGATCAGACTGCAAATCTGAAAATAATCCATGTCCTCAAGAACACTATCAAAAATAAAAACTCTGACATGCTTGTGGCGACTTTTCTAAGTAAAAAGAGACCTGATCCATTTTACCATACTGAGTAAGATGGTGAGAAGAGCATGTACACATTTATCAAAAGGCTTATTTGTTGTTTAGAGACTTAGTATGCACAGCAAGGTGCCTTTGCATTAAGGGCTGGGTTTTTAACAGAATGAGTTAGGCGAAGTCACAGGCAGGTGGACTCGGGCAGCCACATTCTTCCTCAGCACAGCCCCCCTGTCTTTGGCAGAGCCCCCAGGTTTACTCACAACATGTACGTGATGACACCAACACTCCACATGTCTGTTGGGAAGGAAACGAAGTCATAGTTCACCACTTCAGGAGCCAAGAACTCTGGAGTTCCAAAATTAACCTTCAGTTTCTCACGAGGTTTGTACCTTTACCAGAAAGAGAGAGAAATCAGTTCTGAGAGCAGGCTGGAAAACATATCTCATCTGTAAAAAATCAAGGCACAGCTTTTGGCCATGCAAGTACAGCAGAGCAATCATAGCAGACTCCACAGGCAATCAGGACAGCGTAACAGTCTTTAAAGAATAAACTGACTTCAGGTGAATACACCATCAACTACACCCTTGGACAGAGCAAAGCCAAAAGGAAGACCAAAGTAAGTAAAACCTGCAAAGGCCTGCCCACTTACTGCTGGCAGATTGACTCTCTGCCAGGCTCCACAGGACCCTTTCCAGCAGATATTGTCCAACACAAACCAAATAAAGCAGCTTCCATTGAAACAGGTTTGGAAAGCATTTGCTTTAGTGGGATGTACCCAGCTACAGCTCAGACTAAAGGTCTGCATAACAGATGTGAGCACAAGATAACCACTGAGGTGGGACTCTGAAGAGGATTACTTGGGCTTGGTACCAAGTTTAACAATGAGGCAATACAGGGACAAAATGATTCTGTTCTATTGCTTAAAAGAGAAAGACTACAAAACTGAACCAGTGTTGACTGTGGCTGATGGTACCTGCAGTTACATCTGTGTACAGACAGAACAAACCATTAAAGCATTGCTTTTACATCTCTTTTTCCTGGAAGATCTGGTTTTCAAAACTACTTTACTAGAAGTTTGCATGTCTACTTCCCAATTAAAAAAAAACACCAAAACCAAACAAACCCAAAACAAAATAAAAACCACCCTCAATGTGTCCATGTATTTTTAGAAAATACTTCTGAAGAAGTCCTTGGGCAGATACATGCACACACATTGGTACATATATTGTGTTGGGGGAAGGGGCATCATTCCATCCCAGCACTCCCAGTCAGTTGCCAACACCTATAATAAATGCTCGGAGCAATGTAGAGATATTCCAGCCACTCCAGCCAATGAGCTGGCTTCATTTGGAGCTCAGCTCAGATGCCTCTATACAAATGCCTGTAGTATGGGGAACAAATAAAGGAATTAGAGGCGTGTGCACGTCTACAGGGGTGTAATATAATAGGCATCACAGAAACATGGTGGGCTGGCTCCTATGACTGGAGTGTTGGAATGGGAGGTTACAGGCTCTTCAGAAAAGAGAGGCCTGGAAGGTGGGGAGGGGGAGTTGCCCTTTAAGTTAGGGACTGGCTGGAGAGTATGGAACTCTGTCTGGGGACAGGTGAGCAGTCAACAGAGAGTTTGTGGGTCAGGGCTAAAGGGAAAATAGCTATGGGAGACATTACTGTAGGGATCTGTTATAGACCGCCTGATCAAGAGGAACCTGTGGATGTGGATGAAGCGCTCTACATACAGATAGGAAAAGCCCCATGCTCACAGGCCCTTGTTCTTATGGGGGACTTCAACCACCCTGACATCTGTTGGAAGGACGGTATGGCCCAGAGCAAGCAATCCAGGAGGTTCCTCGATTGTGTGGAAGACAACTTCCTTCTGCAAGTAATAGAGGAGCTGACAGGGAGAGGTGCCATGCTTGCCCTCGTGCTCACCAGCAGGGAAGGGCTCATTGGAAATGTGACTCTCCAGGGCAGCCCTGGATGCAGCAATCACGAGATGGTTGAATTTGAGATCCTCAGGACAGTGAGAAGAGCGTGCAGCAAGCTCACTGCCCTGGACTTCAAGAGGGCAGACTTTGGCATCTTCAGGAACCTGCTCAGTAAGGTTCCATGGGATATAGCTCTAGAGGGCAGGGGCGGCCAAGACTGTTGGTTCATATTCAAGGATCACCTACTACAAGCTCAGGAGTGCTGCATCCCAACTAGAAGGAAGTGCAGCAGGAGGGCCAGGAGATCTCCTTGGATGGATAAGGAGCTGCTGAGGAAACTTAGAGGGAAAAAAGAGGCTTACAAAGGTGGAAGCAAGGACAGGCAGCCTGGGAAGAGTACAGGGATGTTGTCCGAGAAGCTAGGGACCAGGTTAGGAAAGCTAAGGCGCAGTTAGAATTAAACTTGGCTAGGGGTATTAAGGATAACAGGAAGGGATTCTACAGGTACATAGCAAATAAAAAACAGACTAGGGAGAATGTAGGCCCCCTCAGGAAGCTATCGGGAGAACTGGTTGCACAGGATTTGGAGAAGGCTGAGGTTCCCAATGACTTCTTTGCCTTGGTCTTCACTGGCAAATGCTCTGACCACACCACCCAAGTCTTGGAAGGCAGATGCAGGGATTGTGAGAATCAAGACCTTGTGCCCACTGTAAGAGAGGATCTAGTTCAAGACCATCTTAAAAATCTGAACATGCACAAGTCCATGGGACCTGGTGAAATCCATCCACAGGTCCTGAAGGAGCTGGCGAATGAAGTTGCTAAGCCACTGGCCATCGTATTTGAAAAATCATGGCAGTCAGGTGAAGTTCCCAACAACTGGAAAAAGGGAAATATAACCCCCATTTTCAAGAAGGGGAAGATGGATGACCCGGGGAATTACAGACCAGTCAGTCTCACCTCTGTGCCTGGCAAAATCTTGGAGCAGTTTCTCCTGGAAGGCATGCTAAGGCACATGAAAATCAACAAGGTGCTTGGTGACAGCCAGCATGGCTTCACTAAGGGGAAATCCTGCCTGACCAATTTGATGGCCTTCTCTGATGGGGCTACGGAATCAATGGACAGGGCTAGAGCAGTTGATGTCATCTATCTGGACTTGTGCAAAGTGTTCAACACTGTCACACATGATATCCTTGTCTCTAAATTGGAGAGACATCAATTTGATAGGTGGACTGCTCGGTGGATAAAGAACTGGCTGGATGGCCGCATGCAAAGAGTTGTGGTCAATGGCTCAATGTCCAGTTGGAGATCAGTAACGGGTGGGGTTCCTCAGGGATTGGTGCTGGGACCAGTCTTGTTCAGTATCTTTGTCATTGACACGGACAGTGGGATTGAGTGCACCCTCAGCAAGTTTCCTGATGACACCAAGCTGTGTGGTTCAGTTGATCTGCTGGGGGGAAGGAATGCCATCCAGGGGGACCTTGACATGCTTGTGAGGTGGGCTGAGGCCAACCTTATGAAGTTTAACCATGCCAAGTGCAAGGTCCTACACTTGAATTGAAGCAATCCCAGGCACAGCTACAGGTTGGGCAGAGATTCAGAGCAGCCCTGCGGAGAAGGACTTGGGGGTGTTGGTCGATGAGAAAATGAACATGAGCTGGCTTCAGTGTGCGCTTGCAGCCCAGAAAGCCAACCATATCCTGGGCTGCATCAAAAGGAATGTGACCAGCAGGTCGAAGGAGGTGAACCTGCCCCTCTGCTCTGCTCTGCTCTTGTGAGACCTCACCTGGAGCATTGTGTGCAGTTCTGGTGTCCTCAACATAAAAAGGACATGGAGCTGTTGGAACAAGTCCAGAGGAGGCCACGAGGATGATCAAGGGAATGGAGCACCTCCCGTATGAAGGTGAGCTGAGAAAGTTGGGGCTGTTCAGCCTGGAGAAGAGAAGGCTGCATGGAGACCTCATGGCAGCCTTCCAGTATCTGAAGAGGGGCTATAGGGATGCTAGGGATGGACTCTTCATTAGGGACTGTAGTGACAGGACAAGGGGTAATGGGTTCAATCTTAAACAGGGGAAGTTTAGATTGGATATAAGGAAGAAATTCTTTTCTGTGCGGGTGGTGAGGCACTGGAATGGGTTGCCCAGGAAAGTTGTGAATGCTCCATCCCTGGTGATGTTCAAGGCCAGGTTGGACAGAGCCTTGGGTGACATGGTTTAGTGAGAGGTGTCCCTGCCCATGGCAGGGGGTTTGGAACTAGATGATCTTAAGGTCTGTTCTTTTTTATGACCCTGACTTTTTTAAGATTCCATGATATATGCATGAATATACCAGATCTGGGCTTAAGAAAAGCCTCAAAGGGTTTAGAAAAGAAGTTGAGAAATGCTGTTGTTCTTACTGCTATACTAACAGGAGTCATTCCTTTTTATTTTATGGGAACTGGCTCATGCTTTGATAGCTTTCTTTTAATATAGTCAGTTTTGCAGAAAATCCCCACAAGTAGAACTTGCACCGTAAAACTCAGCAGTCAAGAAGTCAAAGAGCCTGTCTGAAGTCCCTGAGTAAAAGCTTTACATGGGGAATCATTTAGAGATAGTTAGAACAGCAGTATAGCTTTATCCAACAGAAATATTATTTGAAAATGTAATTAGATAATTACTGCACACAGCAGAAAACTCACACCCAGAGCAACATACTGCTTAGTTCATTCATACAGCAGAATTACATTAGAACCACCAAAATGTACAAAGTCCCCCTAAGAACTATCAAAGTCACACCAGAGGTTTGTGGGGTTATTTTTGTTTTGTTGTTTTGTTTTTTTTTAATAAATGCACAACTGAACTCTCTTACCTCCTTGCTAATCCAAAATCAATAATTTTAATCTGGTTTCCTGTGTGATTTACACATAATATATTTTCAGGCTACAAAAAGAGAAGAGAGTATTTTGAGTTAAAAAATGTCTACTTGTTTGAGAGATCTAGCAAAACAGTATAAACATGTTAGATTGTAATGGTACTTTTTAGTATAATACTTTTCTTTTGTTCCTATCATGGGAGAGAAGGATTTGACTGGCATACAGAGTTAGTGACAGGTTTGGGTTTCAGCCTCCCATAAAGAAGTTTAACTTCTATTCCTGTACAACAATATTCCATAGATGACAAAGATTTTAAAATGGAAAGGCCCTTCTGTGTAAAATGGTAGTCAGTCAGACTGTTGAGGCTTACCCACTGGATTTATTCCCTAAGTGTAAGAGTCACTCCATAAAAAGCTTCATGAAACATGTCAAATGCATCCTTTGGTTTGCCCATGAAGGCAAAAACTTGTTTTTTTTTCCAGTGAGAATGATTTTCAAGGTGGGAGTGGGGGGCAACAGTGTCCAAAGTTATTGCAACTGCAGCGCTGTCTACAGGCCAACCAGATCTAATATCATAGTGTAAGCCACTATATAAGCAAGCAGGAAAAAAAATTAGTTCGTATTTCTGTTTAAAAAGGCCAGTTATTAAGGGGCCATTAGGAAAACACTAGGAAGATGATATCTGAACACAGCTACAAGGGGCTATGGGGAAGTGAAGGGAAGAATGAAGGCATTTCTAGCCAAAAAGGGTTTGAGGTTTGTTTCTTTTCATTAATGACAAAAGGGCATTGTTTAATTTCACACAGAATTAAAGGCTTCTGATTTGAGAGAGGCAAAAGCACAGAATCCAGTTCTTTTCACTATTCTCAGCAAGCTACTAAATAAACATTAAAAAAAAAGCAATGAATCTCTAAAGCTCCATTCATTATGGCTGTTGAATTAAGTAAGACTACTCCTTTACGTCATAGTCCACAGATAGGGAGATTACTCTTGTAATTAGATACTGTGGTGGTCCAAGTCATAGCATAGTTAAAGAGCAGAGAGAATGAAGTACTGACCTTCAGATCCAAATGGAGAATATAATGCTGGTGCAGGTAATGGACTCCTTCACAAATCTGCTTGGTAAATAGGATTGCATCCAACTCAGTCAGATTGTAGTTTTCATCTGTGATCCGGTCAAATAATTCACCACCATCAAGACTAAAATTTTGCCATAGGAAAGTGTTAAAACCCTGAAATTCCTCATTAGCTCAATTAATTTCCAAGCTGGGAACTTAGGTGCCCTAATTTAGCAGGGTCCTAACAGCACATCCAGTATAAAGTCTATCAGTAGTCTCAATGACTTCAAGCAAATTATTTCTGAGTGTGAGATTAAGTACCAGTATAAATTAAAATTGAAAAGTTGTTGCTAATATCTGGAGGGGGAGGGGAATACACCTGTCAAACCCAAACCCAGATGACCTGGTGATCTGATGGGGACCTGAAGAACCTATAGGAAGTTCCAAAGTATCTATTATTTGATCATTTTAGTAGTCTAGAAAAAATAAGTCTTCAATCTATAAAATTTACTAAATGAAAGCCTAACTTAAAAGAAAAGTGAACCATAGTGGAGCTCTGTTCATCTTGTCACTTGGGTCATACTTTTGAGGATAGTTGCCTTTCTTATAATTTGTTGTAATCTTGTCATCTTGTAGTCTTGCCAAACAATTTTTAATCCGAAGACGTTACTTTTAAAACATGTATGATTTTTAATTTTCCTTCCAAAACTGAATTCAACTCTCTGGCTAGGATCCTACTCAAATCTTCTCACAGCTCATAATCATCATTCCCTATTTCCTCTAGTGACCTGAAAAAACCCAAACATATAACAATTCCTGAGATAATTTAAACTTACTATTCCATGATCAAGGTGATACTATTTTTGGCTTCAAAAGCATCATAAAGCTGGATCAGATTCACATGATTTATTTGATTCATGATATTAATTTCATTTTTTACTTCCTCCTGAAAAAATAGCAAATTAACAAAAAAATGAGCAAAATACACCCCTTAAATTCCAATATATTCAAATACAATCATTTGTAAACCCAATGACAGCTATACCACAGGTCTCCTGTGGACAGATGTTTTAATCACAAACAGAGGAGATGAGAATCATATAAAGGCCAAGCTTCTACTTATTAAGACAGATTTTACAGTATTCGATACTACCCAATGCTGATTGAGGGAAGTGGTGATAAGGTGCCTGCAATGAGGCAGGTTTAGAGTGTGCTCACTTCAGTTCACAGCAGCTCAGTTAGTTACCTTCTCTCTTGCTCCTTTCACTTTTATGATTTTGGCTGCCAGGTTCAGCCCAGTCGATATCTCTGTGCACTTGTGAACTTGTCCAAACCGCCCACTGTGGGTACAAAGGAGATGGGAACACAACTTAACAGAGCTCACCAGAAACCACGCATGCAACTAGTCCTATCGTCCATTAAAAATAGCACAGTACAAAGTGAACGGCATCAGGTGGCCAGCAGCATGAATCTCCTTTTTCTCTCAGCTTATGAAGGATTAGTTTTATCTTTCCAGCCAGTTGTTCAGTGCTTACATTAAAATATTATGCCCCTTCTGTATTCCCACATTTCACTGTGGTATGATGACCTGATGATATTTTTTTGCTCTGTAACTGTACCCACTTCCTGTCCTTCAGTGATGCATTTGTGGGTATATTAACAAGGGTATTTTTATCCTCGTCTCCTAACTTTTCAAATGATTTTAAGACAAGTAACCGCAGCCACTCCACAGACTTCATCTCTTATGCACTGTAAATTCTTCCCCATGTCACCCAGGCACGTCGATGGCCGTTGGGATGATTTCTAAACATTATCTTCTCTGCTATGGCATCATATCACTTATATTATTAAGCTCTATTTGTACTTGGATCAACCCATAAATTAAACTTTGTCAGGTAAGTAAGGACACAAAAACACAAAGGCTGAAGGAGCTGCAAACTTCTTTTCCGTGAAAATTAAACATAAGGTCAAAATAATGGCTCCCTTAGTTTTCTTTAACGGGCAGTTCAGCAGGGTAAAAAATATTTGGACTCTGATTTCAGATGCTCTGAGTGTGTTTGCCTGAAGGGCACAGGTTTTCTTCCTGACACCAGGTATGGCCAGGATCGTTGTGACAAATGCGAAACCAGTCATCCCAGGGATCTGAAACAGGACCTGGAGCAAAAACCAGTCACCTATGGGTCACCCCACACATACTCCCCACAAACTGTGAAAGGTTGATACAAGGAACCCAGCAACTGCAATGGCCTAAAAGGTATCAGGGATGAATCTGCTTGCTCTGGCTGCAGTGACCCTATCGCACCTCACCCACAAACCTTGGGGCTGTCTGAAGAAGAAAGGTCTAGCTCTCCAGCTCATTGCATTTCTCCATGCCTTAGCTACCAACAGCAGTGCAGCATTAGGGAGAGGGATACTTACCCTCCCAGTACTTCATGCCGACACACTGAGTAGCATGTTGTCACCTCTGTTTGCTTGACACTCACCATGCGGTGTTCAAAAGGAGCTGGAGGAGAAGGACTGTCATCTAAAGAGGAGACAAGCTGGTCACTGAGATGTGCGCAGATACATTGAGATGAATCTGCGCGTATCACTGCATTCGATTCCATCTTCATCACACCAGTGACTATTACCACAGGACACAAACATTGCCTTGCTGTGTTTGCTAAATGTAATAAGAATTCTCAGCTGCTTCCTGTGCTCCCAGTATCCACAGCTCTACCAAACTATACCCTCACTGTTTCTGAGGGGATGAGCCCTGTTTGTCAGCCTGGAATCCCTGATGCAGCCCTCAGTGCTTCTGTGGGGCTCTAAGAGAGCAACTCCAGTACTGACACAAACACAGACAAGCCAGCCTGCCACTGCTGCCAATACATGCCAATGCAAACACTCAAAACACAACTTTATACTCAAGTGCACTGCCCTCTTCCAGACTTCCTTTTTGCTTTGTGCTCTCCACCATGCCAGCATTATTATTTCTGCTTGAATTCAGACATGCACTGAAGTATCTGGATAACATTAAGTGTGATTCCATCACTATTTTCAGAGTGGCATGTAAGTAAAACAACCATTGCTTTTGCAGCAGCTACAAAAAGGGATGTGCTGAAAAGATCCAAAACTACCCTGTTACTTCAAGTGAAGGAGTTTTACTGCTAAGAACCTTTTACAGATGAGGAATAAACTGCCAGAGAACAGGATACCACCTTCTGAATCTCAACCCTGGTTTTATAACAGAGAAGCTAAATCAGTTAACCATGACGTACTTAATGTCCAAGTTTTTCTGGGGTGAAGCTTCCATGAACACACTTTTGGTGTCTCCCATTCAAAACAATTTTACAATTAACCTCCACATATCTTGGGCTGCAATTCAACATGTATTCATCTAATCTCCAGTCACTGCTGAGAAAGCCAGCTTCAGGTCAGGACATCTACACATGGAAGTACATTCTGAGACATATATATGCTGCCTGGAGAGAGTACTCCCTGAAACTATGCAGCTGAGTGTTCACACAGTAACTGAGATCTACAGCCAGTAACACAGCAAATACTACAGCAAGATACTCCTCCCGCAATATTTTGCTGGTCTCTGGATCTCCAGTCCACAGCTGCTAAAGCATACCTGGTTTGCATATTCTATCATAAGGAATAAATGCTTTAATCTAAAGAAAATGGATTTTTTCAAAATGGCTCGTACTTCTGGTCACATGTACACTTCACCCGATTTTATCTTAATGGAACCTTTTTTTTCCCCCAAAACCCAAACGCTTTAAAAGGAAAACTACTCTTACACGCATTTGTACAGAAGTTAATTCAGTTATTTACACAGTCAAAGATATCTATGGCAAAATGCCCTTGAACTGTAATACACAGGTGGTCTACTGAGCAGTGCTCCAGCTATTATTGTACATGTAACACAAGAGTAGCACTAAATCCTCAGTGTAGAAGTTTCTGAGAGTAACTGTGAGTAACTTACCGATGACCATTTCATCCTGAGTGGGCAGCTCTTTGGTAGCTTCCAGTGTCTCAGCTTTCTCTGATGTCATTCCTTCACACTTGGGTTCTCTCTTCTCAACACTGGCATCTGTTTGGGATTTTTCTGCTTTTGCTGTTTCTTGATGGATTTTCCCTCCTACCTCCAGATCCTTCATAGAGTCCTTTGCAGAGGTATTCTGTGAGGTCATGGGCTTGCATTTTAATTCTGATTTCTCTTCAACCTTTTTACCTGATTTGGGCTTACTCAGTAATGGCTGTTGCTTTCCATTTTGAGGTGTAGGTTCATTTTGCTTATCAACCATTGTCATTTCTTGATTTGGATCAGTGCTAATGTTTTTAGGACTCTGTTGAAGTTTCAATTTGTCAGGCAGCTCTTTGACTCTTTCCACTTCTGCTGTTGTGGAGGGTGGGGATTTTACTTTGGGATCGTTTAAGTTTCTTTCCTTGGTCTTCTCAATCTTTTCTTTCACTTCAGTCATATGCACATTGATGGATATCCTGCAGAGCAAACAGTTGACATTTTATGAGGATGACTATCCTTGCTTTTGGGGAGGGGAAGAAAAATCTGTAGCTCCAAATCACAGATTTCTACAGCATTAAAAATATCAAATTGTACCAATCCTTTTTGAAAATACAACACTAAGGGAAAAGCACCATAAAGTATGCCGGTGTGTGTCCTCATCTGTGTGTATGTCTGCTTTCTGCTGAACACAAGATGTCTCACACTGAAAAGTGTTAATCCCACATTTGAAAGCTTACCCGCTTTATGTGACTATTACAGTTGGTCTAATAAAATGCCACTAGTCTGGGCTGAGAGGGGGTAGTGATTCATTTCACAAATACAGGCTGATCATCTAAATGGCTGACTGGTCATATGGTTCTACGAATCCAGAGGTTTGCATCCATTCCAGTCCTCTTCCATCTGGCTGACCTGCACACTCAGACATCTGTGCTTGTGTCTTCTGATGGGACATAATTTTTTTCATTGCGTTCTGTTAAAAATGTAACTTCCATAAACTCTCATTCCATCAATACTATTTTCTTGCCATTCTAGGTACTGCAAAAGTTTAATATTTTTTTCCTCTTCTGTTACCTAAGAAGAGTATGTGTTAAAACCAATTGCCTATGCTCCTAAAACCCAAAGACATTCATGTGACAATTTTTGAGTCAACTGTTACTGCTCCAGCTGTCATGAACAGTCTGATTTCAGGGAGGCTGAATGGAAAATTGTGAAGTTGTAAAGCAAATTTTATACAACAGCAAGTAAAGAAAATTTCCGATGTCTGGGAAAGAACATAACTCATTTTCACAAAACTTACTGCTTCTTTTGGTGCAGCAATGTTGCTACAAAAGATGTTAGAAAATGCTACTGCTTTCACATAACAAGATTCTGACGTGTCCCATTTTCAGCAACTTTAACACCATTGAGTTATGCTATGAATCTAAGCTGCACTCAAATGAGCCATTACAGCAGCTCCAAGCAAACACTTCCACTGCTATGTGGTAAAGTCTGAACTCGGCAGGATTCATTACTCCAAGCAGGGGAACACAATGTCCTCCTGACACTTTTGCGTGGGCTTACAGACCTCATTGAAAGTTGCATTCATTTTAGAGAAGCATTCACCACCCTCATGTGCCTCCACAAAAAAAACAACAGGTTTCCTGTGCAGGAAGGCTGCAGATTCCCTCCCCAGACCAATGTCTTTAGGGCTCATAAACCCCCTGTCCTACCCAAACCAACCAGCTGCTTCAGAACCTGCTGCCTCTGCTCAAGTTCACCGCCACAATCAACGAGCACCGACTTCCACAGCTAACAGCAGCTGTTCCCCCACTGCTTCCCAAACACCTTGGGCCATCCTCCGCGCACAGAAAAAGCAGAGCCTCCTAGGCAGCGCTCTGTGGGCAACTGGGATAGACTCAGAGCACAGCACCTACAACTACCAACCAGAGCCTAAATCCCACAGGGAAAACACAAGGGAGTCCGTGAGTCCCTCTGGGTTTAGTGGCATTACAACAACCAGTTTGGAGGTAATGTTGCCTATAAACTCTTGTTCCTGAATGCTTGCCACAACAAAGCTTGCCACAAGAAGCCACAACAGTGAAGGGTTCTATGCTCTAATGCCACATCCTGACACTACCTCTTAGGAGAAAAATATCCATGTGACAAAAGTAATGCCATGTTCTTATCTGGGTTTCAGACACCAGTTTGTATACATGAACAATGGGGAAATTCCACACTCAAAGTGGCATATATACATATTTATGTGCATGTGTGAGTGTGTGTATCACCTCACCCCCACATTCACATCTATAAACAGCTCTATAGCCACCAGCCCAGACAGAGAAGGCATGGCAGTTAAAATTTGCCACAGCATTTCCATCTGTTGGGGTTTGGTTGGTAGCGTTTTTGGTTGTGGAGTTTGGGTGTGGTGTTTTTTGTTGGTTTGATGCTCTTTTCTGAAAAGATGTTATTTGGTTGGGTTATGGTTTGGTTTGGTTTTGTGGGTTTTTTTGTTGTGTTGGTTTTTTTTTTGTTAAATACATAGAATTAAAATCAAATCCTAAATAAATAGTTCAAAATAAAATGGACTATGAAAGGTATATTACTAACACCTTTATGAGGAAAAGATTGGGGTAATAGAGATTGTTAATAAATGATCATTAAAGGTCATACCTTTAAGTGACCAAGGCATATAAAACCCATAAAAACAATGAGGGCAGCAAACACAACAAGTAGTTTAGTTTTGGCATATACTACCAAATACCTCAAATTCCTTTCACCCCCATGGCTATAGAAACAGGAAACCAATGAGTGGTTTATAAATGTCCAAATACTTGAGCTCTACTAGGGTGGTCACCTTTATCTCTAATACACAGGAACACCGATCTTATAAAAAAATCTCCCATACACCTAAGCACTCACTGGCTTCATGGGAATTTACACTGGACCCTTGCTTTGATTTTTTTGCCTTAACCATTTGTAAGGTCTCATCACTCTTATCCTAGCATGGCTGGATCCCCTGGATCATGTCTCGGCAGGAGCTGCCTCCTTTAGATCTGGCTTCCTTTTTTTCCTTCTAGCACATGAAATGGTTTCAGATCATACAGAAAGCTACCAACAAGGCCATTACCTGGTATGTGTCACTTCACACCCTGTGTCAGATATAGCCTGAGATGTGGAGGGCACAGCTTCCCAGGATGCCACACTCGAAAATGAAGGTCTGTTTTCATGCTCTCCAAGTTTCTGATGAACAAGCTGTCTGTGGCACTCATCTAGGTCCACATCGTGTGCTTTAGCAGGAACATTCTGGTTGTCCGCATGATCTTGATTTATGAAGGGAAGACCGTTGTGTTGATTCAAATCTTTGACACCAAGTTCCATTTGCTGCTGACAGCTCTTAGAGCTGTGTGTTTTGCCAGCACCTTCTACTACTTGCTGCTGTGCTGTTCTCTCCTTAACTTGGAGTTTGGAGTCAGTTTTGTGGGTTTCAACACTAGAAACGTTCACCATCTCACATGCTCCCTTGTTGTCATCCAGTTTTTTCCTACTTTTTGTCTCTGAATAAAATAAGCCATTAATAAACTATCCTTGATAAAAGTGACAACAAAACAGAGAAGGAATAACGTAACTCACCACTCAAAGTGACCTACACAGTTACACATCTGAAAAGGTACCAAGAAATTCCCCAAAAGGTTTAAAATCCTTACATCAACAAGCTTGAGACAGCCACTGTTAATGCTCATGGCTTAATCAGAGGTTTAATTCTCTGTTGGATTTCCAGCACTGTTACAGATTGAACATGGATTTCCATTAAGCAAGCAAAAAAAAAAAAACAACTGCAGAGCTCAAGCTCACTGCACCTACAATCTGAAATCACTCTGCAGGCAAATACAATGGGTAGCTCTGGCACTGCAGACCCATCCAGGACCCTCCTCACCCTGATACACCCTCTATTTGCTTAGAGGGCAGAGACAGAGTGAGCAAGACTCCAAGGGATGTCTTGAGGCAGTGCCTCTTGGGTTTTCCTCAAAAAGACAAGAAGGCAGTGCCCTGACAGATGCATCCTAAACAGGAATCTAGCTCTGACATGGCAATGAAACTTGCTGATCAAGAAAGGATATTCCCAGTGCCAACATTCCCCTTTTTCAGAGACTGGAGAAGGGAGGGCTGGTTCAGATTTGTTAAGGGGAAAGAATTTATTAGGTTTGCTATATGATACTGCCACTACCTTCATGGTATCTCTGAATGTCTACTGTTCTCAGTTTAGCTCATTGTAATTGCAAAGCAAAACAACCACAAAACTATACACACAATGGTGCTGCTTTTAATGTCTTGATTTTCCAGCATTTTGTGGCAATTGATCCAGGGGACAATCATCTTTGAGCAGATGAGAACCATTCTGTTTTCCCAGTACTGGTCAACAAAGGTAGTTATATTTGAGTAATTCAGGTAGTGGGAAATAGCAGGCTATTAACTTCCAGATTGTCTGCTACACATTGAAGAGTCAAAGCTTGAGCATGCCTGGAGTAATACATACCTTCCAGGGGCTTCTTGCTTTCAGTTTGGGTTCCTCTGTTATTAAGCACATGCTTAGGTTTTGCACCACTCTCCTCAGGCTTATCTTTGGCCTAAAAAGGTAGGGGAACACAAAAATAGCAGTTATGGCCAAGAGTGTTTATTTCCCACTAGGTTCCTCCAGCTGTGTAGGTATTCAGACTCTGTAAAAGGATATCAACACCTCTGATTTTCTGAATTTTTGGTTACTATTGTGTTTACTCCCTTTTCCCAACCTCTCCCCACTTTTTCATACAGGCATACTTCTGAAACAAGACGACATAGAAAACTACATTAGCTCACTGCTTTCCAAAATTTTGTCTGTCAGGATTTCCCTCCTGTCATATTTACTCATATTCATTAAAAACCATTATATATAAAACATGAGAGAGATTAGAAGAAGAAATTATACGCTATTTCTGTTGCTTTTTCATCAGTGACTGAAAGATAAGAAATGTCTCTGAAGATACTGTTTGTCTCAACACATCTGAAGATTCATGGTTTCAACTATGAAACAGGTAATGTCAAAAAAGAGACTCTGGCTTTATGGCAACTCTTGTACATGTACTTGACATTACATGTTTCACCTCTGACACGGTTAAAGCCAGACTGTCTTTCAGAAATCTATTTTGATTTTTAATCAAATGTTTTCCTCCAATTAAGAAAGCACAGAGGAGGGATATTTTGTAATAGCCCCACTAAACACACAGCAATACACTTGAAACAAAATTAAAAGTAAAGAACTAGTATTTAGAAAAAAAAAAAAAAGCATTACACCAAAATAGGAACAGGCTTAACATATTTCTTGGCTGGTATATAGTTAAAAATCCAGTAATAAGCAGTCTCCTATCCTTATTTGTACAAGCAAATAAGTAACATTTAAAATATTTCTGCAGACAACTGATTACAAGACTGCTGCAAAGCAGCCCCTTCATTTGTTAGTAAAAGTGCTTTAGGATCTGATGCTTCAATCATATAGATCCCACAGAGCCCCCCAGTTTCCCCTTCCCAGAAAACAGGACACCCAAAAAGCGGTAAAAAAGTCATTACCATTTTTATTACAGCTCTAAGCAAACCTGCAACAATAACCAGGGGGAACATTATTCCTGCAGAAACCTATGCGCAAAAAAAGCCTCAGATAACTGAATGTCTAATGCTGGTGGGTTTTTTCCATCTGTTTAAGTCAAAAGTTAGAGGTTTGGATCCTGTGAGCTCAGCTCATAGTCTTGCATTAATTTGACTCCAACCCCACGAAACTTCTTCCATAAGCATGCCTATGGCATCCCTGGAATGCTGTCATACCATCAACAAACAGCTTCACCCAGCAATGAAAACATCACCTACCCATTCCCATCCCCATACTGGGTAACGCTGCATGAAGCCAAGTCTGTGACAAGCAGCACACTGTTACAAAACAGCTGAGGTTGGAACACACAAACAAGCAGGTAGCAGATTCTGCTCATGTGCAACCCCCATGCAACTGTGGAGCTCTTTGGACATGTCTGTATTGCTATCACAGAACAGGCTGCAAAAGCCTGACCAAAGTTAGCACATGGCTTGGTGCAAGCTGATTTGTTTTTAAATTCACCCATGCTCTGCTCCACATTACTCCAGCTCAGTCACATACATACACTACTACCTCAGTAATTCAAGCCTAGTTCAAATACCACTCAGCAGCCTGATATATCTTTAGTTCTAATAATAACTGACCATATTTTCAATTTCAGAAACTGTTCATGACCAGAAACAAAAAAAAAGGAGAAAAAGGAGAAAAGAAAATATAAGTAGTAACTTGTATTACAAAATGAGTTAGCCGTAAAACTCTCTACTTGTCCAATACACATTGCCTGTTCTACAGCTGAGGCAGTGGTTAGAGCCTGGGACACAGACCTCCAGCCCATCCTAGTCTATCAGGTCACCAACGGCAGGTCATTTCACCTATGGCTATCCCCCTGTCCATAAAACCTGGATGAATGTCTGATCTCCTTCAGCCTCCTTTTTTGCAAACACAGATGAAGAGGCAGTGCTAGGCTGACAGCTAATCCTGACAGCATGCTAGAAATGCATGTGAAACATTCCTCTAGTATCCCTCACGCCACCTCCATTTAAATCCCTTCTTACTGGTCTTCTCATTTAGAAATTGGCAGTCTGGAAACAAAATTAGTCATCTTTACGCTCCTCTTCACCTGGCCACACTGTGCACTGGCAGCTCAGCTCAAGGTGTAAACCCTGTAAAGGGCTCGCTTTGTTTCCAGGCAGAGACTTGTAACAATGCAGCTTTAACCAAAAACATACCAAAATTTTTCAGATCTTCAAAAATCTGTAGAACTGAAATTGAACTGCAGGTAGAAGCTATCATCGCTATCCAGAACTAAGATAGATACCTAATGTATGATTTACAGTTCTCAACAATAACTGAAACTCTATAAATTCTTTTGTCTCGTAACAGTCTAACTCACTTGTCAGCCTCTAGCCCTTAAAAAGGGAGACAAGGGAAGCAGCACTCAAAGCCTGAAAAGATTTGCCAGCATCTAGCATTGCCCTATTCTTGTAAAAGTTTAGGTGTACCTTCCACCAAAATATTTTACAGTTTTGGTAAAAAATACTTGGATTAAGATACAAATGGACATTTGCATTTAAGCCAAGTTCTTACTCCAATCAGCTCTACATAGAAGGAGATTCTTGGAATGAACAAACCTATTCCAACTCTTGCAGTTTCCTCTCACCTTCTTCCTACTGCAGGATACAAGCCATAGTAAAAACTGAAAACTCCCATTAGCTAAATCTAATTCCAGAAGGCCATAACTTTTAAAAGCTACATTAATCAACTCCAAAACACTGTACCAACTATGTACCAGTCTTGCCTGTTCCTCCCTCACTGTCCTCAATAATTAAGAAACTTTCAGGAACTGATGTCTAGGAACTTGCAAACACAAGAACTATTTGATTTGAGAAGTGAACAATGTCGATGGAGTTGATAAAGTCAAAGTTTCATCATGAAGATGTAGCTAAAGACAACTTGGACGTCTAAGGACATATAAATTAGCTCTGTAATATGACCGTAAATCAGCATAGGTTTTAGTAACTGGTGTTATGTTCAGAACTCATGATCAATCAAGCAAATAGAAGCTTGTTCCAACAAAAGATGCTTCCAGTATGTTACTTACACTTTTCACTAAGGCTTCAATTCAGTCACTAATTTGAATGACATTGATGATCTTCAATCACTGGTAGAAGCTGAATTTCCCTTTACAGTAACAATCTACTCATACTTGTTACACGATTGCCTGGAGCACTTTGGGAACCCCAGACATCAAAGCATGCTTTTGAGCCTTGGTCTCTGCCTTCAGAACCTTGCAATTCACAGGTCACAGCAGTACTCTGTAACAGGATACTGAAAGGAAAACCTGAACTATTATGTTGCACAAGGAGCCAGCAGGAGAGCCTAAAGCCCTACTACAGCACAAAGCAAAATGTGAAGAACAGCAAAACAAAACCAACCTCAACAAGGATTTCCAGCAGACTCCCCTTCTTCCAGGGCACAGTGCCTTTGAGAATAAAATCCACTACTTTAGAATTTTTTAATACTTCTTCTACAAATGTAATAACTTTATCCAGTGTATCAACCCTTTTCTCTATTTTTGCCAGCCTCTCCTTATGCTTCGAGGCATCTAGCTGGGCAGCTTTTACCAATTTCAACACTTCTGCGCATACACTGTGGATGTCAGTCTGGAGAGTACTGTCCGATACTTTTAGGCCTATTTTCACTGCATCTGTCTCATCAGGAGGTGCTTGGGACACTGTTAGCTTGTTAATGCCTTTTTCTATGTCATCAATGCCTTTGTTAATTCGCTGCAGTTTGCCTGTCAGATCTTCTTGAAAATGCAACAGTTTGTCCATCTTTTCATTCAAGAGGTTCAGGTTTTTGTCCATCAAACTTAAATTGTTCACTTTTGTAGACTGTAACTTTGTCAGGGCATTTCCTTCTGCAAGGTCCGAGCTACCCGCAGACATTTTGTCCAGACAGCAGGATGTCAGATAGATTAGGCTGGCTTTTCATTAACCTTAAATTAGAAAATGAAGATCTGAAAGTTCATCTTCTTTAGCTATTCCTGCACCAGACATCCTCACTTACTGGAGTCGCTAGAGCGTATCATGAGATAGGTACTGCACTAAAGATTTATTTCTGTGTTATCTGTTTCTTCCCGCATGCTTGCGAAGATGGAAGTAATCTGGCACCAGGGTGTATTTTCTTGGGCCTCCTTGACGTCACAAAACCATTTAAAATTCTTTCTCGAGAGGCTGTTGATAGGAAAGCATTTAACAACTGCCAGTGCCTGAGCAGACCTCTGGAGGGAGAGGATTGTTCTTATGACCAGTTTTAGTTCTGTGATAGTGAAAAGAACTTGCTAGAGTGTTTCTTGTCATTAAATAGGAAAAATGAAAAGGTAAATCTGGTGACCTTGTGCTAAGGCTTGGAAGAATTCAGCTTTGCAGCATGAATGCAGAGGACTCAGGACAGACAGAGTGTGCTCTTTAGGTTGGCTGGCACTTGAATTTAAAAATAGAGTACAATGACAAGGATCTGAAATGCGTATCTATCACCAGCACGTTTTTGTCAACTGAAACGTCTAAAATTAAATATTTCACCCAGCCTATAAAAATTAAAAGAGTAAAAAAAAATCTTCATGAAGGCACAACAGAATTAGTCTATTAGCCACAAAATTATTAAATCATAAATATTAAAGGATTTTGTTACTCTTTCACTTCTGAACCCCAGCATGTCTGCTACAGAAATCAGTCACTGCAGAATAGAAAGGTAGCCACTTGCACTGCCTTGTCTACCCCAGCTCTGATCACTTCAAAACCATTAATGAATGCATCCATAAAACAGAACAGTATAACAGACACTTCCAAAGGGGATGAACTGTGGCATTAAGCGATAAAGCAATTTGTCCCATCCCAGACATGACAATGTCTAGTTCCTCTTTTCACTGCTGTATGAATGTGGAGCAAGGCAGGGAAAGGATGGGGAAAACCCTGCTGCAGCAGTCTTCGTGCAACATAACATACCATATCAAAACCATGGGCTTTGAGATACAGGACGTCCCTTTGAGATACAGAACATCCCTTTGCCTCAATCCTTTCTTCATTTTCTAGAACAGACATATGAGAAGAAAGTGATGTTCTTGGAATGAACTTGTATGAAATAGGATGTTCTAGAAATTAAAATCCTACCTCTACACACTGCAGAGCAGTAGCAACATTAAAATTACCCTCTCAAGATGTTAAATTCTTGCCACTTCTGTAAGAAAATGGTTTTTTACCTTTACAACTAAAAAAAACAAAGTAATGTTTTTACGTCTACCAAGGCCAACAAGTAAGTGTAACCAACTTCTGTGACATTTAGAGGCCAGTAACTGGCTTTCCAGAATATCAAAATCTTTGAGACCTGGACTGTTTATCACCTTGAAGTGATGTTGATGGTTGAATACCACGCAATGACTTTAAAAGAAAATTCAGGTTGTGAAAGCTGATGAGAGTCAGCTCCCTGATCAAAAAATGTTTTAAAGTCATTGGTATTTTCACAGTGGTCTGCGATAGTATGGCATAAGTGTTATGATATCACATATAATCTTATTTCAATAATCAGCATACAATGCAGTAAAATATACAGCTCTATCTTGAAAGTATAGGACATTGACAACGAAAACTTTGCATTGCTACTAATACATTTAAATAATCAGTAATAAACAAATGCCTTTAAGTAATTAATTATTTCAAGTCTACAGACATGCCTAATGATAAATAAAACAACCAACATTTTTATTAAATCGAGAGTACCGGATGAATGTTGCCCTCTTAGGACAAAAAGAAGGCAGATTCATTAGATTGTTATATTTAAAGTCAGGCAACTTGCAGCAAATATTTTAATAAGGAAACCTATCCAAACAAAGTCATGTGCAATTGCATACTTGGAACTTCAGTTTCCACCACCAGTGTGCTATTACAGGCACAGCATGCATGGTCATGAAACAATGCAAGTATAATAGAAGTGCACAAGTGGCCTCTGTGTGTATTTGTGGGCAAATGGGAGTCTCTGGAAATCTGGAACCAGCTTCTTATTCATTTCACAATTGAGAGCAAAAAGCATTAATGTTGCCCCACTGTTATTCACCAGTGTGTAATTCATGTAACTGATAATTTAGTCCTACTCACATACCATGGACACTAATGGTAAGTGCTATTGCTATGTAAAAAAAAACAACAACAAAACCAACGAAACAAAGGGGACTCTCTGAATTTGTATTGTGACTGCAGCTTGAGGGCGCAGTCCATCTCCTCCTCCTTCAGACTTGGCCACATGCACAGTGTATTCCAGCTGTATGGAATGGTGTTCACCACCTAATACCTACTCACACAGTACACTGAGATGTGTAAGATAATGCACTATGAAGAATTCTTGCTACATGCAGCAAATAATCCTTGCTAGTGTGTCTGATATACATATAGGGAAGATACATCCCAGACTGCCTCCTGCTCAGATACAGCCATTCAACTTGTAACACTACTTACATGATACTGTCCACCCACGAGCAACTACAAAATTATGGGTGGGATGAGGTATAAAGAAAGAGGCCTCATTTGGCCCATAGCGGGAAGTTTTAAACATCTGTCACACAGTTGTTAAGGTCACTTTTTCTTTTTTCTTCTAATTCCCTCCTCCTCTCTTTTCCCTGTAGAACTGCTGGCAAACACAGAATGAAAGAACAGCTCCAACAGATCTAGCTGATTGTTTTGCTTTCAGGATGATAATATGTTCCAGTACTGGAAAAAATCTTTTCTTCTTTTTGCTTTGAATTACAATAGAAGGCAATTTTTGTTCAGAACATTAATCTGGTGCCCAAAGTTTGCATCTTGCTTGAGCAGTATGAGGAGAGCATTCAGTTCCATCGACAGTCTCAAGCCTTTGAATACTTAGCAAAAAAATAGGAGAAAAATTCCTTAATTGCTTGACTCTGTATTACAGATCACAGTATAACCACCCTTAGACATCGAAAGAAATACAGTAGCAAAAGCAATAGCCTATTATATTCACTTTTTTTTTTTGCCAGGAGCTATTGCTTATAATGACATTGTGCAGTTACATATTGCAAAACACATGTTGCTTCATCTTCAGCATCCCTGAAATCACTTCTGAAGAATGTGAAGTCTTGTATGAGCTCAAATACCAGTGAATCTGGCAGGAGCTCTGTAGATTGCTGTGTTATCACTGGCAAAACAAACTGGTGATCCATGAGACTTCATCATAGTCTGGATGTAATTTAAAGTTTCTGATGCTAATTGGTCTCCTGTGGATTTCTGCTTGTTTCTTTCAGGTAACAAAAAACCCAAGCACCTTGATGTGGAGCATGCAGGCAACTGCCTCCATTCCAAGAAGAGATAAACTGCAATTAACATCTTGGATACCTTTAAAATCTCCAAGGTATCAAGTATCCCAGGAGTGCCAGAGAAAAGGAACACAGACCCTGGAGAACCAGAACGACAAGTGACTTTGAACCAGTGATGCCGAAGAGACTTCTATCCTCAAGGGGGAAATGAGAGTTTATTCTTCTTTGGCTTCAATGCCATGTATACTCTCGCAGTGACAAAAGAGAGATGTCAGAAAACAAGAGAAAAATTCACATTCAACACAAGGAACCGATGATATGGTAGTTCAGTTCTGATCCCTCCTTCCTACCTCTGACCCAAAGGAAGGACAAAACCAAAGATTTGGGGTGAATAAAAATGTGAAAAAAAAAAAAAAAAAGATCTACAGCATGTACTAAGGTACTAAACAAGAAATGTCACAGAGGTTAAAAAATAGGTAAGTGAAAAAATAACCTTTCATATGGCCTAAACAAACCCAAAGCTTAATAGAAAACTTGAGGGCTTTGGGAGAACTTTGCAGTGACTGCAATGCACAAAGTTCTAAGAAGATGAAGAATTCCATGTGGTGAAACATCAGGAGCTTACATAAAGGAAAAAAAACCAAACAGCAGATAAACTCAGAATGATCTGGCCGCACCTGCTGGACACTACTCAGGCTAAAAGTATCTTTTAAGTATTTAGAAAACAGCTATCAACCTTTTCAAGTTACATTGGAAATCGACTCATTGCTGCAGCTCATTAACATGAGCTTTTTAGTTTCCCCCCAGCAAATTAAAGGGTAACTAGACTTCTTTAGGGTACCTGAACTTTTGAAAAATTAAGCCCTACACTACTGAGTAATTCCTCATGAACAGCATGGTTCCTAGACACAGAAAAGGTAATAAATCATGTCCACAGAGTAATGGTGCAGCTACAGAACAATTCTCATGAGAAATGGCAAGCACTGAAATGGATATTGGCTCCAATTTAGAGGAATAACTTCCAAGGGCAAGATATGCCATGCAGTCTGGATAAGTCTATCCAGTCCAACAGTTCAGTCTCCTGCTGAGATCAGATCTTACTAGGAACTGGCCTATGCCTGCTTTAGAAGGACGAGAACCTGACATTTAACACATCACTCATTTCGACCTTGGTTGAAACTCACCTGCACAATAAAAGGGGCTATAAGGCACTCTCAGTCTCCCCAGCTGACCATGGCATGATACATTTCAGTATTACCTACCTTACACAGCACAACATTACTGTAGGACCAGATCATCTCAATCTTAACAATCACTATATGAACTTTTTCTCCCCTTTTTTCTATATATTTAATGACAGAAAACTTAAACCCAGTAAGTTATGAAACACTCCTGCAAGTCCTGACTTCTTCCTCCCCTTCTATTTTATTCTTTTCCAAACAGCTGATTCTAAGGATAATGCTCCCAGGCAGTGGCACTGAGCTAAGGATAGGTTAATGAATCTGAGATCATGTGTAGTATTGTAATGCATCTCTGTCAAGCAGCTGACAGCAGATACTTGAACAGATCAATTGTGACATTTCATTTACATCAAAGTGATGAGATTTCTAGATAACACTGTTTACCATTTGTCTACATGGCTTAACAGGAACCTTTAAGTCCTTCCTCCAGGTTACTTTGCCTCTCAGGAGGCCAAGAGAGCACCTGTTGCCCGTCCACAATCATTCACTCCACCTCAAGCCTGTCACTCACAGAAATGACATCAAGAAGCT